CGTTGGTCATATGAGCAAATTCAGTGCCACATGCTGGGGTTGACTGGGATGGATGTGTTCTGGAAAGTAATGTGTCACAGTTTTCTTTCTCATGGAAAGGGACACTGGAGGGTATCTTTCCTTTCTGTCTAAATATTACCTTCCCTAGATATAAGCCATGGAGCTCTTACAGACATCTAAGGACCAGTACGATGAGGACACTGAGGTGGCAGAGAAAGGAAAGGGTAAGAATCTGGGCCCTAGATGACACCCCTGACCCAGAGTTCTCCATGCCTAACATCCACCCTACTTTGGACCACCAATCTACTTGGGAAACGGACTAAATATTTCACAACTAACAGCTACCTGCAGGCACTACTGTTGGCCCTGAAGATATTGTAGCAAACAAAACAGACACTAACATTGCCATCAGAGAACTCAAATTTTAGGTAATTCTATGAACAATAAAGAAAATTAGTAAATTATACTATATGTAAGAATGTTATAATGCAATGGAAAACAAATTAGAGCAAGTTAGGAAAGATTTAGAATGCTGAAGAATTAGAGTATGTTTACGTGGTCAGGGGAGTTCTTGCTCAGAAAGTGATATCTGAGTAAAGACTTGAAGGTGTTGATGGGATGAGTCATTAAATACATGGAGGAAAACCATTGAAAGCGCAGAGAACAGCCAGTGCAGGAGCGTTCACGTAAAGCGTGACTGTCAAAGACAAGGTAGATGTGGAGGGACCCAGTGGGAGTGTAGCTGGATTTTAGTGAAATGACACAAAATCAATTCATGTTCAAACTGTAGTCCACTTAAATATTACATGACATTGCAATGATCCAGAAAGAACTTGCTCTGGTTTAGAATCAAGTAGAATCAGTGGAGGAGGAAGAATTGTTCTTTTTCGCAACTTCCTTAGACCACGGAAGCAACAGGATTTCTGGAAGGACTTAACGGCAAGACTGACCTCAATATTTTTGAGCCGCTATTGATAAGTGAGCCTCTAGAAGGATAATGTTAATGTCACCTGAGATAAGGAAGAACACAAGTAGATAAAGCCAGTGAGAGGAAACGAGCTCATTTCTTACATGGTTAAAATCCAATGTGTATTAGAAATCCACGTGGAACTGCCAAGTGGACAGTGGCAATAGAGTCTGGAGTTTAAGGTGGAAATCAACACTGGGGAGAGTAGAGGGTACAGATGGCATGTAATGCCACAGTGCTGGATGGGTGACCGAGGGAATGAGTGTAGGCAGAGAAGAGAAGGGGATGAGGATTCATTTCTGAGGCTTGTCCCTGTCAAGAGGCCACGAGGAAAAGAGGAGAACCAGCCAAGGAGACTGAGGAGTTACAGCGAGGGAGGTCAGAGAACAACCAGGAAAGTAATGTCCTGGAGCCCAGGTGTGTATGTGGCAACTTGACTGGATCACAGGGTGTCCAAACAATTGGCTGAACATCATTTCTGGGGGTGTCTGTGAGGCTGTTTCTGGGGGAAATTAACATTGGAATCTGGGGAGGCAGTATAGGACTTCACCCTCCTGCCGGGCAGGCATCATCCAATCTGCTGAGGGCCTGCATAGAACAGAAATGTGAGGAAGGAAGAACTCGGCCCTTCCTGCCCGACTGAATGACCTGGGACACTGCTCTTCTCCTGTCCTCGAAGCTACGGATTCTCAGGGATGCAGACCCCGACAGGAGTCTACATCATTGGCTCCATTGCTTCCTGGGCCTTTTGAGGCCACCTGAATTACACCACCAGCTTTTCTGGGACTGCAGCTTGCAGACACCAGGTCAGGGGACTTCTCAGCCTCCACAGTTGCCTGAGCCAATTCCCTTAAATAAATCCCTTCCCGTATAGATCTCGTACATTTTCCACGTCTCTAGGGAATGCTGAGTAATATACCAGGGGAGAAAGTAGTTCCAGGTGGAGGGAGTGATTAGCTCTGTCCAAAACCATGAATAGGTCAGTTAGGAGAGGACCGGGTGACAGCCATTGGATTTGGGAACACTGATGTCATTGTTACCTTGAGCACAGTTTCAGTTTAGATGAAGACATACATGCCTGATCAGAGAGGGACTGAGACAGATGGGCCGAGAGGAACTGGAGACAGTGGGGGTAGACAGCTCTCTGTAGGAGGTTTCCTTCCAGGAGAGGATAAATGGCCCTATGAGTACTAACAGCCAGCGAGCTAAAAAGAAGGTATTCTGTCTCTTTTTTGTTTGGTTTTGTTTTTATGATGAAAGAAAAATAACACCACTTTGTCTGCTGACAGAAATATTCCAGCAGAGGGAGGAAAAGTGATGCTGATGCTACACATGCTGTGGGATCATGAACTTTCTTTTTGATTCAGCCAGTCTACACGAGAATTTTGTGCTACTTGCAACCACAACAATTTTCCTTAACAGATTGAGCAATGTCTTCCTACGTCTAAGACTCTTCTCTTTTATGCCTATGGAGGTATAATTTTTAACAGTGTTCTCATTTGGGTTTGCATGATGAATTACACGGCCCCAGTAATTAGTTAGGGATGTTGGTTCTGAAGTCATAGGTTCCAATCCTGGGACTGCCACCTACCAGCTGTCATCTTGGACAAGTGACTTAACTCCTGTGCTCCCGTTACTTCATATGGAAAGGGGGCCGATGACAGCACTGATCTCAGTGCTGTGCCGATCAACGGAGGCGAAGCATTTAAAGAGCTTACAAAAGGACAGGCTACATATGATAAATATTTCACAAGTGTTAGGTATATTAAATTTGCATGCCACCTGATACAAAATTCTCCTTTACCATAAAGAATGGAAACTACTCACTGATCTGTGTTTAAGTTTTTCCCTTTCACACATATAACCTTAAATGTAATTGCTTAAGTGCAACAGAGGGAAATTATGCACAGCACCCCTTGATATACAAGGAAACTGGGAAATGGAGCAGCTAATTAAGATACAAGAGAAATTTTAAAATAAATGTTAATTTATGGACTATGTTAAAATGCGCGGGGTGATGTTTAATTTTATGTGTCCACTTGACTGGGCCACACACAGTGCCAGCGGTTAGGTCAAACATTATTCAGAGTGTCTCCGAGAGGGAGTTTTGGATGAGATCAACACTAGAATAGGTAGACTGAGTAAAGGAGGCTGCCCTCCCTAACGTGGGTGTCCCACTGCCCATCAGTTGAGAGCCTGAAAAGAGCAAAAAAGCTGACCTTCCCTCAAGCAGGAGGGAATCAAGCCTGACTGCACGAGGTGGGGCAGTTCTCTGTTCCTGCCTGCAAACTTCAACAGAAAAAGAGCGTCTTCTTGAGACTGGATCCCAGCAGCTTTTGGCCTGAGTCTTACTCCCTTGGCTCCCCTGGTTCTCAGGCCTTTGGACTCAGACAGGACCTACACCATCAGCTCTGTGGGGTCTCCACCTTGCCGACTGTAGATTTTAGGTCTTGTCAGTCTCCAGACACATGTGAGCCAATTCCTAAAAAAAAAAAAAAAATCTCTTCCTGTCTCTCTCTATAGATAGCCTCTTGGTTCTGTTTCTCTGGAGGACCCTGACTAGCACACTTGGGAATACATGAGCCACTGGTGCAAGTAAACCTGCATGATGACATGATGTAACTCAGTAAAGAGTGAGTGGTCTGATCACAGGAATTACAGGTTGACAGTCAGGGTCACAGGACAGGGTTTCAACAAACAACTATCTGAAGGTATTAAAGGGTGCGGTAGGCAGAATGCTAAAAATGGTGTCCCAAGATATTCCACCATCGCCCCAGGTGCTGCGACTAAGGGGAGGCTGTGTTTCGCTCCATGGCTAAAGGGATTTTGCAGTTGCAACAGTGGTGACGAAACAGCTGACCTTCAAATAGGGAGATGTTCCTCTGTGGTCCCAAAGAGCCTAATCTAACCAGAGGCTAAAAGCAGACAGTTTTCTCTCATAAGAAGCAGAAGGGGAAGCAGAGAGATGCAAAGCACGAGAAGACTGGACTCACCACTGCTTGACTGAAGATGGCAGGAACCAGTTGATGGCAATAGGGGCAGACTCGAGAATCTGAGAGCAGCCCCCGAGGACGTCCTGCAAGAATGTGGGTTCAGTCCTGCCGCCACAGGAGCTGACGTCAGCCCACCGCCTGGATGAGCTTGGAAGCTGCTTCCTCCCCAGAGCCTCCAGGTAAGACCCCAGCCCAGCTAACACCTTGGTTTCATCCTTGCGAGACCCCAAGCAGGGAACTCCCTTGATCCACGTAACACATCTTACCTATGGGGACTGGAAATAAGAAACGTTTTGGCTTAAGCTGCCAAATTTGTGGCAATTTGTTATCCAGCAATAAAAAACTGACACACAGGTAGTTAAGTTATTAGTATATTGACTCTGTGGTGCTTAAGGTAATCTCTGTATTATCCAACCTACTAGAGAGGGTGAGGAGTAATTTGTGGCCCAGCCATACACTTGCACTTGTACCTCTGAGGTGCAAATTAAAATAAGCATGGCCAAAGTCACAGTGCAGAGAATCCCAGCTCTAGTGCCGCGAAGATGAACTGCAAGACAGAGGCAAGAAAAGGCAGCTCGAAGTGTGACAGCAACATGAGGACACGTCCTGGGAAGATGGGGACCACATCTGTGAAGGGCTTGGACACCGGAGCTGCCCAGTCAGGCCCTGCCCTTTAGCTAAGGCGGAACATTCAGTTCCCAGTTCTCTGTGGGTCAACAGTAGACAGGCACAGTCAGGGGAGCTGCAGGTAGTGGCTCTGAATTAAGTTGAAATAAATTATGATGAAAAAGGCTTTGATGGCACAGACATTCTCGGAGGCTTTAGAGTCAGACACACTGGCTCCAACACTGTGTGATCCTTGCTATGTTTCAGAATTCTAACTTATTAACAGTGTGTGAGTCTCCTTGATAAAACTACTTTGACAAATCTTTCCAGACTACTGGGTTTAAGATCTGCCTGCGTGATTTTCTGTACTAAGACAGCTGGATCAACTGGACTGATCCCTCTAAGGTCAGAGCCTCCCGCAGCACGCGGAACATAGGCATTTTCTGACTTTCATCCTGGATCCCTATACTCAGTAGCTTCGCGTCCAGTAAGTGCACTGCTGACTTCCTGGCTCGACCATCAGTGTCGGTCTCTCTACCAATCCCAGTTTCTGAAATGTCCTCAAGCGGGGAGGCTTTTGAAGTGGCCCAGGCTTTAAAAAAATTTAAGAAATGTAACTGTAGAAATTGATGCATGAGTATAAGACGGGTAATCTGATTATTGGTTTTGTTGAAAATCATAAATGTTCCAGATTAAGGAATCCCATCCGTGAGCCCCAGACACTGGAATTTTCAGGTAAAGCATTCACGTTCAGAGTCACGAGGACCCAGTTCCCCTGTTTTGACTCCTGCTCCTGCTGCCTCCCTGCTAACTCCTCTGAATCTGCCTCCCTCCTCCTCTTCTCCTTCACACTGGAAATGTACTCAGTGGATACTTGTAATTCACAAATGACATTCCTTGCTTTGTTTGTGTTCCTGTGAGGTCCTGAGGGGCGGGGAACATGCAGTCTTTGTTCTTTCCTTATCCTGTGAGAAGTGTACTACAGGAAACATGCCTGGTAGGCATGGCTGAAGGTTTGCTGAATTCATCTGTTTCCTACTGAAACACTGACAGCAGCAATGTCCCCTTGCAATCTGGGGTAGTACAGCATATACCTTCTACACGGGGAGCACACGTGTGGTTTCTGAGTACCAGGTGCCACGCAAACTCTTCGAGAACCCAGGAGGCGGTGGAGGATGAGATCTGGTTCATTTGTCCAGGTGCCTCACACAGCACACAGCAGAGGTTTTACCACACAGCCTGGCTGAAAGCAAGAATTCCCAGAACTTGGTCATGTCAATGGCTTTCCAGACCGGCCACCTCCAACTATACAGTTATAACCTTAATATTTTAAGTAAAGGGAAAAGTATTATTTGTCATGAGTAAACTTTAAATATACAGTGATGACATAGCAATCATATGGAATTTTTAAACTTACATTGGTGACTCTCAAAAACACAGGAATTTTTGTCAAATACTTTTTTTACTGTGGGGATGTATAGGCAATGGATTGTGACAGCAGTTCTAAGTCCCAGCTCTGCCACTGTCTCGCTGTGTCACGAGGGGCAAGTTATCTACTCTCCTGGGCTTAATTTCCTCATTTGTGAACCTGGAACAATGGTACTCATGCCACAGGGATTTTGTGAAAATCATCAGTGAGGTACATTAAGTACCTGACACATGACAGGCCCTTGAAGATTTAGCACATCTTCTGATATTTTAGTTAGAAACAACAACAACAAATATGATTCCTTTATAAGAATCTGGGGAATTACACACATCAGAAACTTCATCCAAAGCAGTAAATCACGGACACTTCCTTTGAGATGCAGGCAGGTAGTAAAAGCTATTTGATCAGAGTTAAAGTTTAGAAACTAAGGGTCTGGTTGGTGCCCTCTCTTAAAAGATAGAATCTTACATTTTGGCAAAGCTCCTAACAAAACCGCTGAATTTCACACACACCTTGAAAGAAATACATCAGGAGAAGAAGGAACGAAAGTAGAGGAGAAACAGATTTCCTACTGATCTCAGGTTCCAGACCCATGCTCAGAGCCACCCTCCCACGGGGATCACTAACAGTCCATCTTCCCACGACGGGTGGATTTTACTGGGGGTTCTGGAAGGTTTTACTGGGAAAAAGGGAATGTGGCCATTCTCCCGATCCCAATTTTCATTCCAAACATCACTTGTATGCACCTTGTTTTCTTTATTGAAGGAGCCTGTGAAATCTACAGAGTAGCTTGGTAACCCTGAGGGACCTGGTCTCATGGTGCCTGGGCCTGAGGGTGCACAGCAGACTGAGCAGTCAACGCTCTTCCCTCCTCGGCCACTCTGAGACCTATGGGGAAGGAAAGGGCACCTGCCAAGAACGGGATTCTCACACAAGGAGACAGGTTCTGCACCAGCGGAGCCTCCCTCAGGAGCCACAACCATCAAAAGTCCTGAAGGCGGGTAATTAACAAGTAAGTTATTCCTTCACAGGGACCCGAACAGTCATCTCTCATCCAACAGAGCAGGAATCAGTGTTGAACATACCAACTTGTGGCCAAAGGACACCAGGAGAGATCTCAGGCATGAAGAGCTGCCACAAGCGTCAGGAGACGGGGTGGGGTGAAAGCTCTGGCGAGCCGTCTCCTGGACAAAAGGGAAGGGGACCAGACCGGACTTGGGAGCCAATTCAGTGGGGGTTTGCCTATGCCGGGGTCTCTCTGGGGTGTTATCATCAGTGAATCCTGAGTTTCCTCTCATTTGGCTGTCTACCTTCGGATCGTGGGCGACTTACAGAATGTCTGTGACGTCAACAGTCTCCCCTATTAAATGAGAATGACACGACTGCCTTTGAAGGGTTTTGATTAGGAGTCAGTTAAAGAAGATCAATGAAGAGCCTAGCCTGGTGCCCGGCACCGTGGGTACTATGACTTCACATCAGCCCCACGTTCCTTTCAACTATTTCATTACAGTCTTACACATTCACTGTGTTGAACTGTATCATCCCTAACCCTAACCCTAAACTTCTATAATTATGCTTTAGTCTCAATTTTAGGGACCAAGGTATAGCTCAGTGGTAGACTACAAGCATAGCATGCATGAGGTCCTGGGTTCAATCCTTAGTACCTCCATTAAAAATACATAAATAAATAAAAATAGATAAACCTAATTACCTCCTCTTCAAAAACATACAATTTCACTTGAAGGAAATACATTACGTAAATTAGTACAAGTTCCGCACAGAGAAAGCAAAAACTACTTAGGTGATAAAGGCCTGAGATGTGGAGATGCCACCCTCGGTCAGCTGTGCAGTAAGAACAGTGCTACCCTAAGCGGGATCCACAGAAAAGGAGCCAGACCCTTGGGCAGGCTGATGAGCAGAGTTCGCACGGCAGCTGGTGCATATATGGTGCTCACGCTGACAACACCTAGTGGAACACCAGCAGTTTGGAAACAGAACGTTTTCTCTGTAAAATGTCACTTTCACAAAGAAATTAATTGATTCGACGAATACTCAGTAGTGCCTTCCCTGCTGCATCAGAAAGCATCCCGGATCGCGGCCTGACAAAGACCAACGAAACACAGCCCTTGCCCTCAAGGGTTACCGGGTACCAAGGGAGACACACACCTTCATTACAACAACAGACGCGGTCTGGATGACTGCAATGTGTGCTCGGCAAAGTTCTGGGCTGCTGGAGATGGGCCAGTGAGCAGGGGACAAGGGTCCCCAAGATCAAGGACTTTAGAATCCACAAGGAGCTCTGGGGGAGTGGGGCAGAGAAAAGCAACAAACGTAACAGAGAAGTAAATAACAGTCTGTGAGGTGACCAGAGTGGCAGCAGCAAAGGACAATGCAGGACAAGGTAAAGGGGCTTAGGGATGGGGGAGAGGAGGGCACTCAGCAACACACAGCCCAGGGCCTGGGCAGCCCACCCTGCGAAGGCGACAACCACGCAAGGCCACGATCGAAGGGGGAAAGTTGGCCAGCCCAGTGGGGTGAGAACATCCAGGCACAGGGACGGACCAGCGCAGAGGCCCCCGGGGAGCCTGGCTGACACAACCCAGAAAGGGCAGTTCCCACTGAGCTGGAGTGCAATGACTGAAGGGGACGGTGCGGGGAAAGTCAGAGAGGAAACGGGACCAGATCCTGTGGGGCCTGGTAGACCTTTGTGAGGGTTCAGCATCTGACCGTGACGCTTGAACAGAGCAGCACTAGGAAGGGTCCAGGTGCTGAATTACAGGTCTCTACAGAGGACAGTGTCAGTGAGAAGGAGGGACACAGCAGTCAGGGAACCAGAGGGAGGGAGCGACCAAAGAAGTAGGAGAAATCAAGGAGGGCCGCCTCTTAGAGAGCGTGGAAACACTCACTTGGACTTAGCCTCCACTGATGTTTGAGCTCACACCTGGGACTGTGCACAACTGGGCTGCTGCACACATAATCACAAAATTAGAAATCCTAAATTCAACCCTGCGATTCATCAATTAATCAAACAAAAAATGGGGAGGTATTTTTTGTTCCAGTCACTTGGTGTCTGAGGAGTTTCCACTGAACTACCTGCCGTAGCCCCACTAGGAAGCCACTTTGGGGCTTGAGGCAAAAACAGAGCCTCGAAGGTACGTGAGGAAGGCTCCCTGACGGAAAAGCTACGTGGAGTTGCCTCCATTCGCTCGTCTTTCATCTTATACTCCTAATAAACAATTATTAGCTGCATTAATAACTGTCCTCTATGCTCCATGGAGCTTTCATCACAATCCCTCATTCAGTCAAAGTCTTTTGAATCCCTGCTGGACACCAAGTTCAGGCCACTGGGCTGACTCGGGGGGAACAGGTATGTATTAGGCTGGCCCTTAGCCTCGAAATGTCTTACAAACATGCAGACAGGTCACTTCAGGGCTCTTTCCCTAAAGCCAGGACAGAACTAAAGTCTGGGGAGCCTGGAAAAAAAGAGGAGGGTAACTGTGCCCCAGTGGAAAGGGGGTGAGTACATGTGGTCAGCAAAGGCTTTTGGGGGGGTTGAAGTTAATGAGGAAATTACTTTTATTATCCTCATGCTACAGATGAGAACTCTCAAGGTCAAAGATATTCACTTGTTTAAGGCTGCACAGCTACTGAGAGTGCCAGATTTAAAGTCTAGGGCGCTCGGGTTATAAAACACCACTTTTTTTCAGTCATCAACTTCTACTAACATCACTCCCCCTAACTCTGCTTCCCTTTAATACATCCAGAAATCCTCTCAGGTATGTGTGGTCACTGTCCTGAAAGCCGTGTCCTGCTGTGAACACCATAAGGCTCTGAGAAGGTCTGTAACATTCTCTATCTGAGGTGACAGCTCTTCTGGAGAGCTCGTCCCTCTTAGAACTGTATTCCACTCCAAAGCTATTCACAAAAGAGGCAGCTCTACGTTCCATGCCCATCTCACTAAGAAACGCACTCAACCTCCCACGACCACGCTGTCACCTTCCAATCTGCCTCTTCCTTCCTAACTCTGAAAAATTTAGAAATAGGTAGCCCAGACTGGTTGCTCTCAGAGCAGATCCCCTCAGCTTTAGAACTTTTCGCAGAAGCTGTGTTCTCCTGGGTGCCTGCATCTCCCAGGTAGGAGAGAACGAGAGAGACGAGCAAGACTGCTCACAAAGAATGACAGGTACTGTGTGTGCATCTCAGCACCTTCAACACACGGGACCTTCCATCACAGTGAATGAAAGATCACCTGTGGAATCAGAACAAGGCGTGACTCAGCTCCATCGCTCACTGCCTGACTTACATAAACCCACCTCAGCCTGTTTCTTAATCTGTTGAAGGAAGATTTCGATACTCATTTTTCAATTTTGCTGGCAAATAAATATTAAATGCAAAAAATAAAGCAGAGCATTGATAAATCAAATCAACACCTAGAGTGAAGACAAAATAGAACGTGTTCTTTTCTGTAGCACTAATTCCACTTCATGCTCGCAGAGGCACTGAACTGCCAGTTGTTAAGTAACATGTCAAGGTGAAGGGCCTCACTAGTGAGAGGGAGACGGGCACTGAGGAGTGCTTTTCGCTATCCTGTGCAGGAGAAGGACGTCCAGAAGGAAAATGCCTTTCTTTGAACTCAGGGACTCTTAGCAAATGGACATCTTACCTAAGAAGCCAACTCTGAATATCATCAAAAAGTACCACAAGAAACCATAGCTCTTGATAAAAATAATGCTTTTCACGAAGGACCTGGTGACCTTGTGAGAGCCCAGGCTATAGAGATGCGAAGCCTTGCATTCAAACACAAAACCTACTCTAAGCCTTCTCTTCTGTGAAATGGAAGTCATAACGGCCTCGGTAAGATTTAATGGGCTGTCAGCTAAACAAGACACACGGCTCAGCTCGGAGCCTGGCACTTAGACTGCACTTGACAAATATTACACGTCTTGACCTCATCCCTCTCCTTCTGACTCCCCGGAAAGTTCAATGTCAACATCTTCAAGAAGAGGTTAAATTCCTACTATGAAAAATACTTCTCTCTATTTTTGGTTGGACTTTGATGGGTGGCAGTTAGTCACTGTGTCAGCTAGCTTCTGATGCCAAACAAACCACCCAAAATTGAGTGACTTCAAACAACAGGCAATTGTTTTGCCCCCAGTTCTGCAGGTCAGTGATTTCAGCTGAGATCAGCTGACGGTTCCTTCTGCTGTTCTCAGAAGCCTTGCTTATGCATCTGCGGTCAGTGCCCTGTCAGCTAAGGGGCTGTGCTGGGGGCTGGATGGTCTAGGAGGGTCTCACCCACATTTCTGGCAGCTGGTTCTCTGTCACCTGGGGTGAAGGTGATGCACAGACTGTGGGTCTCCCGTCATCCACCGAGCCCAGGCTTCTTCACGTTGCTGACATCTTGTTTCAACAGCAGCAAGAGAGGGCAAACCCCACTCACCGTGCAAGCACTTTTCAATTCTCTGCTTGCTTCACACTTGCTGGTGTCCCATCAGACAGAGCACATTCCATCACCAAGGCCAAGGACAACGTGGGAGTCGTCTACAAACTGCAGCTGTTGCTGTAAGTCACTACTGCTCATGAAACAACCTTGTTCCTCAGGGGAGAAACACTGAACTATAGATAAACCGGACAGTGGAATGTTAAGTCTCTCAAAAAAAAGATTCCTACGCTTCTTCAGAAAAAGGGAAAACCACCTTGCCCTAGGGTTTCAACAGGTGGAAAATAAAATTATTTTATCAAATTGGGGGAGAAAACTAACTTGAAATTCTCCTAGGCATTGCACTAAACCGGCAAATTCTGGATGTCTTTATCTGGAAACGTGCTATGACTCTGCCAGGACGAAGTCAGTCTCTACCTGCTTGCATATCATAATGTTGCTTTTCCTTTCTCTTCCAATAAATATGCCCGCAGCACAGACATATGGCATGGGCATATCTGATGGGGAAGTGATGCAACAGACTACAAAAGGGCACCTCCTATTAGACGAGGAGATGGTACCTGGTAATTGTGAAGCAGACCTGTGGTGTCCCTGGAGCCTGGTTGGTCCACTCCTCCCTCCAGACTCCCTGCGCAATCTCCCAGCTTTGCCAGAGTTCCTCTTGCTGTATTCCAATCACTTTTTAAAGCTGAGTATAAGTTTTATCACTTTCTGCTACAATGTCATAAACATATTTTTTCGGATCCCTTAGTATTTTATTTATTTTGTGGAGGTTGATACTGCTACTGTGAATGTCATCAGTTCTCCATTACATTTTCTACAGGACTATTGCTGGCATATGCGAAAGCTCTTGGCATTTCATCTACTTATTAATTTTTACCATTTAAAGAAATTTATTCTTACAACATTTCTAAGGCGTTTATCAAGAATACATTCCTACCATCTGGAAACCATGACAATTTTGTCTTCTTTACCAAAACAGTAGGCTTTCTGCTCTTTACAACCCCATTACACTGGCAAGAAGACCTAAACGGATATTTCATAATAGGGGTGATGATAGGTATATTTGCCTAGATCCCGATTATAATAGATTTTGTTTCTAGTTGTTGAATATCATTTGTGCATTTGTGAGTTATGGACACATTGAGGAATACAGCCTGCTAAAATCCAGTTTCCTAGTTTGTTTCCGATCACGGAGTGTGCCTTCCTCCAAATGCTCTTTGATCATCCATCTTCTCTATGTCATTAAATATGGTCGTGGGTAGTAGTATGGCTATTGGTTGTAGTCATTCCCTTTATAGCTCCATTTTATCGTTGTCTTCATACATTTTTGTTATATTATGCCCATACATTTTTGTCATATTATGCTCTAGACATTGAGGGTAGTCCTGTCACTGGGAACAGACTCATTTTTTATAAGCTATTTTGAGTATAAATGGAGTGGAGCAGCCCCGGGAGGCTGAACTAACTCGTATGTGAAAACTGGACTGTATGTTTCATAACCACTTTCCACGTACCTTTCCGATGCAGTTTCCCCTTAATGAATGCATGATTTCACTGGAAGAGTGAGTTGTCATGATCCCCCATGCCTGGTGCCAGCAGACTGACTGCGGGTAAGAGAGAGAGATGCCTAAGTTGCAATAGGCCAAAGGGTAGAGGACATGAGAGGTCTTCTCCACAAGGCTACTGTGAGTGCAGGGAAACAGTAAGGAACAATTCAAAGGAACGGGAAGGCTTTAGGTTGTCACATCTGGGGCTGTGGGGGGCCACTTCTGCCCAAGAGGGCTGGACAACCAAACACAGGTGAGAGAGCACCATGTGGCCTCGCTGGAGTCCCAGGCCAGGAGGCTTCTAAAAATCAAAATGTAAAATATGAAGGGATTGCCATAGGCATGTTTTCCAAAACCCCAACCAGCACTTCTCAGTGAGAAAGAGAGAGAAGGCTGGAGTGTGTGGACGATGGAGATTCCTGGGATTTAATAAAACACTACTTACGCTGCTTCTCCAGCTGTCGGTGAACAGGACCCCAAGTGCGAAGGTCTGAACTAAGCAGGTGTGGAGTTTACTGATGAGGAATCCGAGGACCAGAGGTTAGGTAAGATGTCAATAGGGGTTGAAGAAAAGGGTTCAGATATGGGCTGTGCCAAGACGCCTGGCAAGGTGAAGAACCTGTTGAAGAAATGAACCTGCATGATGTGACTCAGCAAACATGAGGTACTATTTCGCCAAGAACACGGAGGATCATCTTGACCCAACCGGGGCCTTCCTAAAATAAGCAGGTACTCTTCACCGTGGGAGATGGCGATGAGCATCCGTACAGGACCGGCCTTACCGTGTGTGAAACGACTGCGTGTGTGTTTCCTGCAGCCCGGTGGGGAGGGTGAGGGGAAACGACCGGCCGCGCCACAGCCGCGTCTGGCTCCAAGGCGCACGTGGACAGCAGCTCGGCCCCAGTCACGATGCGGCGGATTTCACCCTGGGGGATGGAGGTTCCCAGCCCGAGAGGGGCGGGGCGCCTGCGCAGTGGGCCCGAGGCGCCGCGAGCGGCGGGAGCCGCGGGAGCC